CTAACCTGCCACTGCACTATACTGTCCTAACCTGCCACTGCACTATACTGTCCTAACCTGCCACTGCACTATACTGTCCTAACCTGCCACTGCACTATACTGTCCTAACCTGCCACTGCACTATACTGTTCTAACCTGCCACTGCACTATACTGTCCTAACCTGCCACTGCACTACACTGTCCTAACCTGCTACTACACTATACTGACCTAACCTGCTACTACACTATACTGACCTAACCTGCTACTACACTATACTGTCCTAACCTGCTACTACACTATACTGTCCTAACCTGCTACTACACTACACTGTCCTAACCTGCTACTACACTACACTGTCTTAATCTGCTACTACACTACACTGTCCTAATCTGCCACTACACTACACTGACCTAACCTGCCGCTACACTACACTGTCCTAACCTGCCGCTACACTATACGGACCTAACCTGCTACTACACTACACTGTCCTAACCTGCTACTATGCTACACTGTCCTAATCTGCCACTACACTATACTGACTAGCCTGCTGCTACACTACACTGTCCTAACCTGCTACTACACTACACTGTCCTAACCTGCTACTACACTACACTGTCCTAACCTGCTACTACACTACACTGTCCTAACCTGCTACTACACTACACTGTCCTAACCTGCTACTACACTACACTGTCCTAACCTGCCACTACACTACACTGTCCTAACCTGCTACTACACTACACTGCCCTAACCTGCTTCTACACTACACTGTCCTAACCTGCTACTACACTACACTGTCCTAACCTGCTACTACACTACACTGTCCTAACCTGCCACTACACTACACTGCCCTAACCTTCTACTACACTATACTGTCCTAACCTGCTACTACACTATACTGTCCTAATCTGCCACTGCGCTACCCTGCCCCAATCTGCCATTATATTGTCCTAATCTGCCACTACACTATGCTACTTTATTCTGCCTCTATGCTGCCCTAATCTGCCATTATATTGTCCTAACCTGCTACTATACTGCCCTAGCCTAAAACTATACTGCCCTAACCTGCCAAATACACTGTTCTAATCTGCCACTATACTACCCTAGCCCAACACTATACTGCCCTAGCATAACTCCAGCTCTCTTATATATGTTTAATGAAATGATGGTATTAGGTTAATGATATGCTGCTTGTAAAACCACGCCTGTTTTTAAATTAACCTCCAATTCCTAATAACGTACATTCTACGACTACAATGTATTACAAGAGGTATAGACTCCAGAGAGAGAGATATCATATTACCCTGGTACAAATCATTAGTAAGACCTCATCTGGAATATGCAGTTCAGTTTTGGGCACCAATTCACAAAAAGAACATTGGGGAACTGGAGAAAGTACAGAGAAGGGCAACCAAACTGATAAGAGGCATGGAGGGGTTCAGCTATGAGGAAAGATTAGAGGAACTGAATGTATTCTCTCTTGAGAAGAGGACATTAAGGGGGCATATGATCAACATGTATAAATACATCAGTGGTTCATATAGTGAACTCAGTGTAGAGTTATTCACCCTGAGGTCATCACAGAGGACAAGGGGGCACTCTTTATGTCTGGAGGAAAAGAAATGTAATCGCCTAACATCTAAAGGTTTCTTCACAGTGAGAGCTGTGAAAATGTGGAATAGACTCCCTCAAGAGTTGGTTCTGTCCAGTTCAGTAGATTGCCTTAAAAAAGGCCTGGATTGTTTCTTGGATACACAGAATATAACTGGATACTAACAGTTATAGTTAAAGTTGATCCAGGGAATATCTGATTGCCTCTCGGGGGATCAGGAAGAAATTTTTTCCCCTGCAGGAGCAAATTGGATCATGCTTTGCTGGGTTTTTTTTTTTTTGCCTTCCTCTGGATCAACTGTGGGTTTAGGAGTGTGTATATGGGATTGTATAATTTTTTTCCCCTTTCATTGGTTGAACTAGATGGACTTGTGTCTTTTTTCAATCAGACTATGTAACTATGTAACAATGGTTTTCTGGACCCCACAGCGTAAAAAGAGATGACCCTGGAAATGTGTTTAAAATATTGGCAACCATGCTGAACTCCTTCCCCCATCCCCGCACTGCACACAGTCTGAGCAAAGGTAGCAGAGCTCATCCTCTATGCAATACATAGTTGAGATCAGATTTTCTAAAACACAGCCACAGTCTGCACACTGTGTAGCTGGCTACTATGTTGCAATACCCTGGTTGGAATAGCAGCACAGCTACAGTAGCCAGCCACACACGGGGCAGATTGTGGCTTTGTGTAAGGGAATCTGATCTCAGATATGTGTTGTGTGGGGAGGAGGAGCTCTGCTGCCTGTGCCCAGGCTGTGTGCAGTGCAGGGATGGGAAAAGGAACTCTGCTGAGTTCCCTGCCAAGAGTGACCCCTGTCCTATGCCCTGCCAGCAGTTACACCTGTCCTTTGTCTTGCCAGCAGTGACCTCTGCCTTCTGCCCTGCTAGCAGTTACTCCTGTCCTTTGTATTGCCAGCAGTAACTACTGCCCTCTGCCCTGCCAACAGTGACCCATGTCATCTGCCCTGCTAGCAGTGACCCCTGCTCTCTGCCCTGCTAGCAACGATCCCTGTCCTCTGCCCTGCTAGCAGTGACCCCTGTCCTCTGCTCTGTTAGCAGTGACCCCTGTCCTCTGCCCTGCCAGCAGTGATGCCTGCCCACTGCCCTACTAGCAGTGACCCCTGTCCTCTGCCCTGCCAGCAGTGACCTCTGACCTGCTAGCAGTGACCACTGTCCTATGCCCTGCCAGTAGTTACTCCTGTCCTTTGTTTTGCCAGCAGTGACCCCTGTCCACTGCCCTGCCAGCAGTGACCCCTGTCCTCCACCCTATTGACCTTTTTCCTCCGACCTGCTGACCCCCGTCCTCAGTTCTGCTGACCTCTGTTCTCAGATCTGCTGACCCCTGTTCTCAGCTCTTCTGACCCTTGTACACTGTCCTGCTGACCCCTATCCTTCACCCTGTGGAGCCCTGTACACCACCCTACACACTGCTGATCCTAGCCTCTGCCCTGCTGACTCCCCATCCTCTGTCCCCCTAACATTTTTTACTGCACCTCCACATTAGACAGGCTAGATCTGGCCCTGCTCATTAATAGGAAACCATCAAGAGCATGAACACTGCATTGAGAACTTTAGATCTCAGATCATAAGAGGTTATTGTAACAATGTATAGATTTATTTTATACACTGAACTGTCTAGATGTGATCAGATCAAAAGCAATGTGATGCAAAAACAAGGGGTCATTACATTCAATGTACAATTTACATTCTTAATGATGGTCATATATTATTAAAATGCATGAGATAACTTTATTCTGAGGTCATGTGCACGCACGCACGCACGCGCGCACACACATACACACACAAACACACACACGCAGTCATAGCGCTCTATGTGTGGTTCACTTAGGCTATCAAAATGCATTTTAAAAAAAAGTACCATATATTATATAATATACTGGTATTATTGCAATATATCAGTCCAGAGTAAAAATTTTTACAGATGATGGCCGGCAAAATATTACTACCAAAGAAACGTTTAATAACAGAAAATATTTTTTTTATATTATACATTTTACATATATCATTTTAGTATTATTTATTTTTTATTATTTTATATCATTTTTTCTCTATTTCTTTGTATAAATTTTGTATAGAGGGGGGCACCTTCTGTCAGGGGAGCCCAGGGCAGTTGCCCCTTTTGCCCCCTTATAAATCAGGCACTGGCCACACTCACTTGAATGGTCCACGTTTGGTGGGCGCTACACCCTGTAAAAGCCACAGGGGCATCATTGCAGCCGCAAAGCATAGCAGCCATTGCATGTCTACACCCCCAGCCACTGCCTCTGCAGCTAAAGTGGGTAGCTGTTGGGGTGCAGTAAAAATTGTACTTTAGTGTGAATGATCCCTTGTACTGCAAGAAATGTTTAAAGTGGTTCTAAAACATGAAGGTTTTTTTTTTACCTTAATGCAGTCTCTGCATTAAGGTAAAAAACCTTAAGAGTGCAGCTCCCCCCCCTTATACTATACCTGAGCCCTATCACGATACAGTGGTGTGCACGAGAGCAGAGGCTCTCTCTACATTCTCCCTTCTCATTGGCACAGACATAGCAGTGGGGGCCGTCGGCTCCTGTTGCCGTCCATAATAACCAGTGAGGAGGGAGCATGGGGGGGGGGGGGGGGGGGTAGGTTCAAGCCATGATTTATGCGTCTTATGAACACAACACACAGAGTCGGCTTGGCTGCAAGCCTGCATGAGTGCCCCCATAGTAAGCGTATTGCATGGGGCATGGAAGAGGAGCCAGGAGTGCCGGCAGGGGACCGAAGAAGAAGAGAATTGGGTCTGTTCTGTGCAAAACCATTGCAATCACTTGAAAGCAATATGAACCCCTACCCATATCTAAGCATTTTGCTGCACATTTTCGCCCCTTTCCTCACACGTGTCCACATTCAACATCAGAAATCCCATACTTTTCTATTTTGGCTATTCACATGCCTATACTCAGTGGCTTGAAGCTCAGAAAGGTACTTTTTATGGAGCGGTGTTGCGTTTTGGCTGTATAGACTTCAATAGTAGTGATGGTCTTACCACCTCCCTGTTCAGTTCGCAGTAGAACATTCAAACCTAAGGAAGGTTCTACCGTGAACATCATACATAATGCAAGTCTATGGGACTCGAACCTATCATTTCAAAAGTGCCCATTTTGAAGGCTTATACGCACGTTATTGGCCATAAAAAGGGTAAAAAGGGTACTGCCCTGAGGGACATGAATCAGTGAAAAAATTTTTAAAAATACTGGCCATAAAAAGGGCCATAAAAAGGGTAAAAAGGGTACTGCCCTGAGGGACATGAATCAGTGAAAAATTTTTTAAAAATACCTTTTTAATCACCTTTCCGCCCGCCCTATAGTACAATGACGGGCGCAAGGTGGTTCTCTCGTTCTGACAGCACATCATATGACGTCCTACCATGCTCACTGCGCATGCGCGGCTCAGGGACACAGCGGATCATGGAAAGAGCCGAAGATGTCGGCTCGGTCATGTGATCAGCTGTGTCCAATCACAGCTGATCACATGTAAACACGGAAATGCCGGTTATCGGCATTTCTCTCCTCTCGAGCTGTCACGCTGACAGCTTGAGAGGAGAGGAGAGCCGGTAATCGGCTTTCCGCGGAGGGGACATGTACACTGATCATCAGGGCACTAATGATCAGTGTGCCCTGATGATCAGTGTGGCCCCAGAAGTGCCACCTGTCAGTGCCCATCAGTGCCACGTGCCAGTGCCCATCAGTGCCACGTGCCAGTGCCCATCAGTGCCACATCAATGCCACATATCAGTGCATACCAGTGCACATCAATGCCACATATCAGTGCCTATCTGAGTGTCTTTCAGTGTCACCCATCAGTGCCAGTCAGTGCCACCTATCAATGCCAATCAGTGCCACCTATCAGTGCTGCCAATCAGTGCCACCTATCAGTGCCAGTCAGCATTGCCTGTCAGTGCGCATCAGTGCCAGTCAGTGCCACCTATCAGTGCCAGTCAGTGCTGCCTATTAGTGCCAGTCAGTGCCGCCTAACAGTGCCAGTCAGTGCTGCCTATCAGTGCCAGTCAGTGCCACCTATCAGTGCCAGTCAGTGCTGCATATTAGTGCCGCCTGTCAGTGCCATATATCAGTGTCATGTATCAGTGTCATGTATCAGTGCTGCCTTTTAGTGCCCATCAGTGATGCCTGTCAATGCCCATCAGTGCAACCTACCAGTGCCTCCTCATCAGTGCCCATCAGTGCCACCTATCAGTGTCCATCAATGCAGCCTATCAGTGCCCATCACTGCAGCCTCATTAGAGCACATCAGTGAAGGAGAAAAATCACTTATTTACAAAATTGTATAACAAAAAACTTAAGAAAAAACTTTTTTTTTTTAAATTTTCAGTGGTTTTTGGTTTGTTTAAGAAAAAATAAAAGTCCCAGAGGTGATTAAATACCACCAAAAAGAAAGCTCTATCTGTCTCAAAAAAATGATAAAAATTTCATATGGGTACAGTGTTGCATGACTGCGCAATTGTCATTCAAAGTGTGACAATGCTGAAAGCTGGAAATTGGCCTGGGCAGGAAGGGGGTATAAGTGCCGGTAGGCTAGTGGTTAAAGGGGCAGTCATTTTTTCATTGCTAAGTAAAAAAAAAAAAATACATTTTAAATTTCTTAAAATATCATGCCTGGGGAGTACCCTTAAAATACCTGCAAAGTTGCACATCTGTACAATATATAGAACCTGCTGCAGCAGGACTGGCATTTAAAAAAAATTTAATTTTTATTTAACTTTAGGTCTAGTAGGAAGGTTAGGAGGGGCCCCACATTAAAAAATGTAGGCCTGGTAGGACTTTTAAGGGGAACCCCACCCCAAAAAATGGGGCGCCAAAGCGGGGTGGGTCCCCCTAAATTCCTACCAGACACTTAATCCGACCACAACTCGAACGAACTAGCTCCCCCCTCCCTTGGCCTTACCAGGCCACGTGTCCTCAGCATTGGGATGGTGTCCCCATGCTGATGAGGACAAGGGTCTCTTCTCCACAACCCTATCCCAGTGGTTGCGGGAGTTTGCAGACGAGGGGCTAATTAGCATCAGGGTACCCCTTTAAATAAGGGAGCATTCTGATGCTACCCCCCCCCTTGTAAATTAGCATGTGGTACCCCTACCCATTCACAAAAGGGTGAAAAAATAAAGAGACTAGACTTTTGAAAAAATCCTTTATTGAACAAAAAAACTGTTTTTGAGAAGTCCTTTATTTAAAAAAAAAAAGCCCCCGAAAAATGGTTCCAGTGTTGTAATCCATTGTCAATCATGGCGTCCAGCGTTGTCACGACAACGACAACTCGCCGAAATAGGAAGAAAAAACTGACACCCGCCGACCCTTCCGCACCCGCCATAATCTGACATTTGCGAGTCCGATGTAATTAATTGGGCGGAGCTAGTGGTGATGTCACCGTTAGCTCCTGCCAATTGTGTACGTCTGACCGCCATCTGTCATAACTCTCATTAACAATTGGGCGAAGGTGCAATGCTTTGGCCAATTACAATGCGCCGCCAGAGCGCATTGTATTGTGGGGCACGCAGGCAAACGGCCCGCCAAACACCCCACATGTTCATGTGTTCATGTTCATGTGTGTTCAGCAAACACATGAACATCCAAGGTTCGAGTCGAACATATGTCCATCCCTATTCAATAGATGCGCCTGTAAATGAGCAACACAAGCAATTACTGGCATTTTCATGCCTGAACAAGTGTTCTGTGCTCTTTTCCTGTCTTTCCACCAGCAGTTTGCATACACGTGCTATATGCTTTGAAAACACTCAAAAAAAGCTTTAATGAGGGCTTAGGGTTCATTCAAACTATGTGCAGTGACCTGCGTTTTTCCTGAATAGATATGTGTAAATACATGTCATTGTCACGGACGCACGATCGCCACCCTCAACATGCGACAATTGCACAGCCGCGACCAACAATACGTCACACTCGCGGCGTCAGACCCCAGACCTTCTCACCAAAATCGTGACCAAAGGACCGGCCGATCTAAAACCACGGTGTGACGCACGTAACAAGGCCACACCCAGCTGCACCCTGCACAGCGATTTTCCAGCTAATGGACTACAATTGGTGCCTGCAGCCTGAATGCGCTTGTTACTGGGTCGGGTTAATTATGCAACTAATCCTCTACTGCCACCACCTTCTTTTGTACAGAGAAAAAGGAAACTCTATCAAATATACACTGTAATGATTGAAATAAAGGACTGTACAACACGGTCCGCAGGCCCGTTATACAGAGATTAAAACAAACAGTAGCGTCTCTTCAAAGGCAGGAATTCGTGAATTGCAAGTAAGCACTTAGAAACAGTTTAACACTTTCAGAAAGAAAGATTTATTACTAAAAGAGTCAAACAGGTGCAATAAAATATTTACAAAGAAAAAGTAACGAAGATATATATTTATATATACATAGAAAACATCCAGCACAGCAAAGAGATAACAGGAAGAAGTTAAAAGGTTAAGTTACTTGCCACGTTCAGCCTTAAGGTAAGCAGATCCAAGTTGCAGAGCGAAGGGTCTTTGATCCCCTGCTGTTACGATGTTAAAATTGGGAGATGTGTTTAGCTTAACTTTTTAGGCTTGCCAGCCTGTCTTTTAAAGTCCCCCTGCAGGGGGGGTGGCTCTGAGTACTGGCCAATACCCTGTTTTGGGCGGGATCGTCGGTTGGACTCTGCATTAAAACTGACAGCTTCATAATCCATGATATGAAACATAGGTGACAGCTGACCTGAGGAATGTTCATTTAACTTCTGTCACCTGGCTGGTAGGGTTTATGAGGTTCCAACTTCTTTCAAGTCCAGGAAAAAAACTACCTTATCTTGGTTAGGAGGTGTGAGTTTACACAGGCCTTGAGACAGAGAGTCTGCTGTCTCTATGGGGGGGGGGCTTTGTAGCGCTGGGCCCCCTGCTGCTCCAGCCTGCCAGCAACTTTTAACACTTACACATCTGTCCCTGTGCCTCTCAGGAAGGGAGGGGGTAGGGAATAAAGGATTGAGCAATACTTCTAATAAAAAAGGGGAACTCTGCATCCATCTCTGATGAGCAAGTTTGCTACAGTCATCACTAGGGCACATAGAAGACATTCATTTTCTATGCGCCACGTTCACACTACAACACTGCTGCAGTGTGTAAAAAATTCAGCATGTCTGCATTTTTTCACAGCACACTGGATGGCAGCACAAGACACCACGCTGCTGATACTGAAATAAAGCTAAAAAAAAAGCTAAGCACAACATGCTAAAACACACAAAACAAAAATATAATATTTTGCAGCTAACCAATACTTAAAGTTGCTGCCTGCATTAGTTTTCTTTTTATAGGCTTTATTTCCTTTTATTTCATCTGGTGATCCTGCCAGAAATGGTCATACACTAAAAAATTTGGCCATACAATCTTTGTTCAATCAATTTTAATAGACCATACACACTTTGTGCGTGGCAATACACACTTTGATAAATGATCAATTTCTTTTCCAGTTTTTATCTTCCAATAGGAGTAATCAATCTATTGTCATCAACCCGTTCTATACATATGCCACACACTGGGAAGTGGAGTTTGATCAATAGCCAAAATACGGTTGTAATTTACAATCACATCTGTTTTCACCATATAATCTCTTAATCTGAGCAATACCGTATTCATGAACAAAATATCTCAGTGCTGCCAATTGATGCAAAACAGTCAATAATACACCCCCTCCCCCGTACAATGAACTCAGATTGATCAAATCCGATCTAAACTGACTCTAATTTATTTGAGAAGTTATGGCTATTCAATTGTTGGCAGATTTGTTCAATTTGATTGGATCACGTAGCAATCGGATAAAAAAAAAATCAAAGTGTGTGGCCACCATTAGATTTATCAAATCTGTGTAAGATCGAGGACGTACCTAATATATCCAATCAATTTGTATGCAATCAGACAGGCCCTTGCACCACATAGTTGTTAACAGATCCATCAATTTAACTGTTTCCCAAAACAGTTCCAGTCTAGGCATGCCATAAATGACAACTGTCACCTTTGTTTGTGCTCTCAACCAAACTGTTGAGCTATCAAATGTCATAACCGATAATGTGTAGTACCAGGGCAACTACAGATTAAACAGATGCTAAAATGGCAGCTTCCTTGGCTTTAATGGACAGTTCCAATTTAAAGTGTTACTAAACCCAAGACCCTGAATTCATTATATCTGGTCTCCCACAGTACACAGAACATGGAAGTGCAATTATTTTAGTAAATATAAACTGCTAAATACTTTTTCTCATCAAGAGATCAGTCTTGTGACTTCTATCAATGTCCAGTAGAGCACTGGTTAAAGCTTGTAGGGGGAGTTTTCATTCTCCCCTGATTGTCCTATGAGGCTGCAGGACTCCTGACCCTCTGTCTGTCTGATTGACCCTGTGCTGATTACAGGCACTCTCCCAAGAAAAAAAAAATCTCTAGCAATACACACCAAACTGAGCATGTGCAGCTTTGCCCCAAGGCTCTGTTCTATCAGCAGATGGATTGGGGACAGTAGAAGAAGGGGAGCATCAGAGAAGTCAGGACCAAACAGCCTTTTTACACAATGCAGAGGATTAACCCCTTGGGTTCCACAATGAGTATAACAAGCATGCTTTACTGCATATACAGACTGATTTTACTGTTGTGAGTTTAGTAACACTTTAACACTGCTATTTTTCATCTTCATAAAACAGACCAAGCTGTCCAACAATAGTGGCAGTTAAAGGGTTGAGACAAACCATTTAACACTGATGGGTGCTTACAATTATCAGTTTTTTTATTTATGTAAAACCTTTATCCCAAAAGGAAAAAAAAGCTGGTTGCTGTAACTGCTTAAAAAGTTTTAGATGGAGTTTGACTTTAATTTGTTAGTCAAGTCCATTAAAATCCGCTAGTATCTAACACTATCCTCCCCCCAGACTGAAAAGCTGCCGCCCAAGAGCATCTCCGTTGTTCACTTGCAGTGCAAACAACCAAAGACAGGAAGTGAGTT